AAAAAAATTGGAGTCAAGTATTTATGTTCTAATCAAATCAGTCTACAGTTATTAAAGCATCAAGGATATTTAGATATAATGGATTTTAAATCAGTGCACTCCGAATTTGGGTGATTTTTCTAAATCATAAAAGCCATTTAAAATGTCATATATGCATCAGAAGAAGGCAAACCACCCGTTTTGAAGATACTGATAATGCAATTAACAAATAAGAATTTATTCCAAATTAAAGATGCAAGCAAAAGGTGACGTTTGCTAAAAATCTAGCCGTGCTTTCCGAAGACAACTTCAGTGTATTGAAAATAATAAGATCTCGTTGGATGCAGGTCATGGAATTATAGCCACCAGCTCATGCGCAAATTGCATGAGATTCCATGGCATAATAGTTACATCAGTAATGCGCAACACAAAAAAAAATTCCGATCGAATTAGAAATGATATGTTTTCCTACAGGAATAAATGCCATCATCGTAACAGTTGAAAGTAGAGTCGATATTGATGTTAGAATAAACTCGAACGAAAAAATCACCTCATGAACATGTTTTAGAAAGAAAATTGCTTCTGATTCGGGTTAACTTAATGCACAATATAGAAAATTACAACCACCAATCCTAATCAATTTGGTATTTAGTAGCGGAAGAACTATTATCCGCATGGCCTGTTTCAATCATGGCTTATAAAAAGGGTTGTTAGTGTTTGTGGAATAAATGGATTCAAGAACTTTAAGAAGATGTTGGCAGATTCGATGCACACATGTTCGACGGAGAGGTAATAATTTCCTAACAGAGAGGTTGACAACTCAGAGGGAATATTCAAGATTTTTATTAACGAGGATAAGATCGAGCTGCAAGGATTTTTTGAATAAGTAGTTCACATTAGGTATGACAGCAACCAATTCCATTTAACCCTCTACGAAGTTCAAATTAACTATGACTTCTCCATATACTACGAAATTTACTAAATTAAAAAAAAAAATTAATGTCAATGATGCTGTAAAGTGGGGTTTTCGAAAAATAGGAGAAAAAATGTTAAAAACCTACAAGTTTTGGATAACTTTGAAAACTTTGCTCTTTCGAAAAATACAATTTTTCGCATTTGAGAATCTGACAAATCTTGAATCAAACAAAACAGCGATTTGATGTTCAATCACAACATTTTGATTCGATTTGGCAAATTATTGATCACAAAATGTCAAATACAATAATTTCCTAGAATCGAAAAAAAAAAAAAAAATGAACGGAACAAATCTGAATTAAACCAAAATTTAAACAGTGCATCACCCATTTAGATTTAAGAGAAAATTGTTCGAAAATAGAATTGAAATCCCATCTCGAGGTATTTAAAGTCCGTATAGTAATTAAATTGCAAAAATATATTACGTATGATAAAAATAATGAATCTTTCAAGATTAGACTAAATAGCTAAACGTGAAGTTTAAATAAAAATTTGAAGTAGCAATATAAATCCCTCTAAGAACCTATATTATTATAGATTATACATCAACCACTAACCAAAAAAGAAAACGAAAAAAGCACCCCTTATGTAAGGGGGCAACTGTATAATGTACTTGACCTCAAGGAAGATAATTGTAGTCTCTTAAAAAGTACGGGTAATTATGCATTTTGATCAAACTTAATAGACTGTGATTGTAACTTACCAAATTATTTAAGATTAAAGACAACCACACCATTGTGTAAATTTCATAATCGACTTGATATTCATGTTTCTTAGATTTTTATAGCAATTTAGCTTTCGCGATTCGCTTTGATCTTATCTTCTGAAAATGGAGGGGAAAAAAAATTCATATCAAATTTTCATCTTAAATTTCTATGATAGCAATTCCCCTCACAGAAAGTTCAGGCCCTCGCCACTGACAACCACCTTTAAAAAAAGTGAACGTATAAAAAATAACCTGTATCATGCTAAGTGAGAATCGTGTTCACCAGATTTCTATGCTTAAAACTCTTCCAAGTAATAATGCAAACAAAATCGAATAGAACCAAGTACCTTATAAGTAGCTCCTATGATGTTAGAATCAGCTTCAGGTCGGCCGCATGACTACTAATCCAGTAGCAATCACCAATTAACAGGACTCGTTAATTGCCCCTAACACGAACTTTCACTTGTGAAGGCTGAAAACCTGTTTGCAGAAATTAAATGGAACTCATCTAATTATCGCCAGAATAAAGAGCATTCACCTCTGAACACTTATAAAACATTTCATTCCAATTCCTATAATTCCGATATCTGAATTTCTTTTTGGAATGGAATTGGAATTAAATTTTCACTAAGTACTAATTCCGATTTCATTAGATTTTAACGATGAATTTAATTTCGGATTTGATTTAACCCTACAATTATCGTGCTACCCAAACAACCCCTGATTTTCACTTGAACTAGGTGCATCAGCTCAAAATCCACAAATGGTGAACTAAGTAACTGAATATGATCACTAATTTGTTGTTCTCTCGAGTCTCGAACAATTTAATCGTTGAGTCGGCATCTAAATTCAAAGGACTTTAACAAAAATAAAAATAAAATAAAATAATTAAAATTACCACCCCTTCTTACCTTCTCTAATTATAGAACCAGGTGATGGTTTCATCCAGTTTCCAAGAGAAGTTCCACCCGACTTGATTCCGGCGGAGGCGGATGCGACCCGGAAAATGGTCCTCGGCGACGGGTGCTGCCCGTTACGTCTGACTGTTTGACTATCCGCAACCACAATCTTCATCCTACGGTCTAATAGAACTGGTGGCAAGCTACGGCGGTGGTACTGGTGGAAGAGAGCGGAGGAGGA